GTGTATGTGTGACGTCCGGCGGTCGGCGTCACGCGAATGTCAACTTGGCGATCGCGATCCGTATCTCTAGGCCCCGAGGCAGCATGAGTCAGACATTCGTTCGCGTGTTTCTTTTGTCGAAACAATTCAGGCGGCGGCGGCAGTGTGTAAGGCTAACCAAAACAGTGGAATTTCCCCCAAAAGATGTCCCCTGCCGACAAAGGAGTGGAAATTTATGGACCAAGGCATTGAAAGCAGAGCCTAGATATCGCTGGGAGGAGGCCCAAGCTGCTGAAAATCGCAAAAGTACACAAATTTACCTGTGCGTCAATGCTTTCGAGCGTAAACAATACTGGTCCACAAAACGGTGTAGGCTGAAGCAATCTACGCGTGCATGAATAGTTTCCAAAGAAGTAAATAGTAATTCTCCTGTCAACGTAAAGCTAGTTGAATACAACAGGCCTTAAACGTTCTGATTAAATCTAGTATAGTCGTATGTCGCCCTAACTTTAATCGCCCTGGAAATGAGCACAAGGCCCGAGGGTGGGGGGTTCCTATTCCCCAGCCTTGCTCAAAATGCCACTTCGACCGGAAAGCGGATAGTAAGTGCGCGTGACCATATGCTAATTATGAAAAACAACTAGCGACCGTCGTAGGTGGTTTGTGAGATCAGAAAAACAATGTCTGGCACAGAGGTGGCTACGGTTGTTGGAAGATTTTCCCCAAACAATCCAGGGTAGACAGGCATATTTGATGTCCCAACACCTACATCTATCTTAATACGACTAAACTGAATGGAACCTACATCCTAATTAGATGAAATTTGCCACGTACGGTTCCCCATGGTGCTTCTTATGGCGTTCCACGTGAAATCATTAATCGAGTCCAACACGACATAGTTGGTCTCTCTGAATGGCTTCAGACTGAGCGCACCGCGGTATTCAGCCTCTAAAACCGGCGGAACTCCCATTTAGGTAGGTTGAGACGCGTACTGTCATAAACATAAATCTGGCTGCCGTGTAGTTCTTTTGCCAAATGCCTGAAGCGCACTTCTATACTGCTGAGGCGGCCGTGGCAATTCTCCAAACTTTTCAGCACTTTAAATTGTTATTGTTACGTTCGGTTGGGAACCATTTTGGAATTTTCCACGTCCATCTCGTGTGAAATTCTGTCGACCCGCGTGCTACTGTTCCCTTCCCGATTTTTTGTTTATTCACATCGACTGACCTTGAAACGGCGAGGCGCCTGTATTGTTACAGTGTTCTCCTGCACACGTGTGTTGTCGAAGAAGCGTTTTTTTCCTTTGTCTACGATCCGGCGTTATATTTGACCGACTCCCTCTATCTACCGTTGAGGCTTGTATACGGTTGATTATTAACTGTTTATTTAATAGTTCCGTACTATACAAATTGTTGTTATCGTTGGCTATTGACGTACGCGTTACGATGGAATACTGAGTCAAAGGATGCTGAAACAGTTACGGTTTCGCCGTCTGCTGAATGTGGCAAAAATTACCACATTAAGGCGCCATAATAAGTATTGTCTTCTAGGACCTGTCCTATTCTTGCAAAACCGTCTAAGTAATACAACGTGCAGATGTTTTATAGCACGTTGTAGGCCCTTCGCCCATTAACGGGCATGGGGTAAAAAACTTCATGATTTTATTTTTATGTCGGAAGTTGGCAGGCGGGATTATATAAGAGAGGGTACACACGGAACTTCGTGCTCAAAAAGCGCCCACGCCTAACATATGATCTGCGATATTGGTTTTACAGCAACCAGCCCAGCAACGTTGGAAGGTAGTGAAAAGTACTGTTTGAAGGAGCGGCTTACTGGTGCATATGTGAAGGGTTAAGACGAATGCACCGGAGAATCGTCATTTCTTCAAAAAGGCGTAGACGCAAGCTGATGACGGAACAATACCCTAGTTGCCCTCTTTTTGTCATCGAAAAATTAGGCTCATTGCGGAACACGGCGGTGAGAGACACGCCAGAAATGACTTAGGCAAACGAGGTCACAGTTGCTACGCGAACAACTTATCAATCAGGGGGGAGGAGACATGTAAGGCATCCATACCCAATTTGCTAAAGGTGTAAGTAGCCATTTTGCAACTTAGGGTCCTTTAATTTAGGCCCCTTAAAACCCGCAATATCTTCTGCCTTCGAACAATAGATCGAGAAGCTACTAAACGCAAACGGTCAACTTGCTTACCTTGTGCAGCAGTTCAGTAGAGTGTTTGCGGCACTGGGAATAGTCGATGGTGGCGGTGAGAGAGTTGTGCGAACCGTTTGAGACAGGCACGCTGACCTGCTTGGTCAGGGCACGTCCGTCGATGCAGGCCTCTTCGTAGGCTCGTTGAATCTCTTGCCACCAGTCCTGCAGACAAAAAGAAGCGAGAGCAAAATGATGGGAGGGCAGGATAACGGTAGGAAGCTGACAAGACGCATGTGTGTGTGTTTGCTTTCGTTTGGACATAGTCGACATTTTCAGTGAAGAGGGCGGATGGGGGGGGGTGGGGGCTAGCTGAAAAAGGGCAACACATCACAGACACACACCCACCTGTACGTTCTTGAGGGCCTGATTAAGGTCATTGACGTTGGTGCCGTTAATGTGCGAGAGACTGGCCTCCCAGGAGGGCAGGTTCTTGAAGAAGGTCTCCGCGCAGGCATGAAAGCTGGTGGAGAGTTGGAGGACACGGGAACGCTCGTCGAGGGCCGCGGTGAAAGCCTTGCGCTCGTGTTCCAATTGGTTCGCCTAGAGTGGAGAGGGGGCGGGGAAGGAGAAGTGAAAACAAATCCTGCGTAGAAAGGGTGCG